CTAGAAATTTTATTGATTCAATATAAATATATTATATTATACTTCATCTCGTCTACTGTCTGTTCATTCATTTGTTTAGCTTTGTTTACCTTCTATTCTAATGATTTTCGATTTATGTCTTCATTTTAATTATTTACATAAACAATCAACATTATTCTTAAGTAATTCTATTACTCTTTGCAATACATTGGTAAGGACGTTTGAATATGTATGTCTCTATCACTATAAGATATTTGTATAAAAGTGTTATTATATGGATGTACATGTACATGTATTAAGCCGAAATAGTAGTCAGGGTTTGACACATATTAAAAGAGCTGGTGGCACGTGCGCCAGGTGTCAAACCCTGACTACTATTTCGACACAGAACATCCAAATAAGAACACTATCATAATCATTATGTTAACTGTTGTTTGAACGTTTATTACAATTAATTAAATTTTCAATTTTAAACATGCTTTGAGACTTCAATTTAAATATCTATATTTGAAAATGTTTTCACTTATATAACATTATTTGAGCAAGGTTTATCAACAGGTTCGTCACCTGACCATAAATCCATTGCTTAGTCATAAACAATCAACGTAATTTCAAAGTGACGTCATAAGTGGTCGACGTGTTCAGCACATTTAATTTATACCGCTGAGGCTTAAAATCATTTCATGGTTATAAAACTAAAGTACCCAAATATATATATTTTTTTTTTAATCAGTAAATTACAAATGTAAATATAATCATTGGATATATGCCGAATACAGGTGTGTATTAAAAAAAATGTCAGACATTTCGAGGCCCGATTTAAACTTTTTAATGATGCCGATTTTTATTGTCAAGTGATATTAATACCACGATAATGACCTTGGAGTGACGCTATCTTTGACAATATTAAAGGCAGAAATTTATTATTTTGCAAATTTTTAGAGTTATCTTTCTTTTATTAGATTTCAAGGGAACGAGTCCGTCTTGGGCGAATTTTGTTAATATTTGTTAAAGTACCTTTATTGAGAATTTACTCAAATTTGATTGACTTGTAAGAGGGTTTTAAAACTCAATAATGACTCCCAAAGTACTGTTAACAGCAAAAATGACGAAGGAATCGTTGCTTTTGGAATATAATGACCAGGTCATTATAAATATTGACCGCTAAATAATGACCTGTTAATCAAAATTTCCTTCAAATTAAACTTACTACATAGAGTAATGATTATATTTAAACAACTCTCCGTTATAAAATGTGTATTGTCTGTTTATGATAGAGAAAACGATAAATATATAGGTCATGCAATCTATCGTTTATTCATTCGAAAATTTCGTTACAATGTCAAAAAATGCAGAGTCGGTTTTTTTATTACAGTAAATTCTGCGCCAGATCTTCATTTTTCATTTTTCCTTGTGCAAATGAGCAGAAACTCTACAATATCTGCAAAATATCAGCGATACAGTACGGTGTATTTTTAGCGATGACGGAAAACTGAATCCGTGTCTTAAATGTTATAGACATAAGAATCATTTTTTTTTTATCGCATGAAAGCGCTGTTAGTATTTATTCAAAATTTGAGATAAATTAAGAATACAGTTTTACAACGGGGATTTCGTGGGGGTGGGGGGGTGGGGGGGTTGGGGGGGGGGGGTAGATTCATAATCAGGCCTGACATAATGTGCGTGATCGTTACTTGTTAGTGGATTAAAAATGCTGGATCCGCCTTTGGTTACTTTTCATTTTGTTCCAAACATTATGGTAATATGCCCCCTTTCTTTCATCTGTTTATTTCAATTTGGAACCAAGAATTTTGTATACATATGTATGACGACCGGTCGATGACATTGTCGGACATTTCTCTCAGAATGCATCCTCCCCGAAACATTTTTTCTTCAAATGCATTCCAACATGATTCTTAGGTATCAAAATATTTTGCACTAAATTCGTAGCTTACTTTAAAAAAAATGTCAGCAAGAGCTAAATAGGTGTGACAGGTCGGCAAGGAATGCTTACTCCTCCATGGCACCTGATCCCACCTCTGATGTTTTGGAGGTCCGCACCTATTTTGTAATGTTTAATGGACTTTTTAGCTTGAATACTGTTCGTTATCTCCATATATTTCATTTAATTAACCACCGAACATGTATCTCTGCTGGGGGACAGTCTGTCCCCGATATTACTTGTTGTTCGGTACCTATTCATTCATGAGTACACAGAATGACGAAATGATACTGGCAAACGCGTCGACCAGTATAAAAAGGCGTCACTCTTTTGAGTCTATAAGGGACACAGACTCAAGGAGTTCATTCGGTGCCCCTCGGATAATCCTCAGGAATATTAAAAATATGTCATATGTGCAGTCTTCAGATTCCCAGTTTTGGTATAAAACCAATAGGTCATACAAGAAATTGAAATAATTTAAGGTTTCTATTAGAGATATATTTGAAGATTTCTTTTCCGATCCCATGTCTTCTATTTCCAAATGTTCTGCGAAAAACTGTTAAACCTGTGACATTTTGATAACTAACATTTCTTCCATCAGTAATTTTACTGGACAGAGCTTCTATACCAAAACTTGGGAAAATCTGAACTGCAAATATACTAATTTTGTCTACGGAATAGAATGTAATCTTGGTGGACTTGTTAATGTTGGGAATACCAAGGTATCACTTCATAAAAGAATATCGGGTCACAGATTTCAAATCAACCACCTGGCCAACAGCTTCTCTATAAGCACTTTAATTTACCTGATCATTCAATTATGTCAATGAAAGTTAGAATTCTAGAAAAAATTTACCACCATACGAACAGTCCATCACTGAATACACCTTTCCGTAGACGAGAAGAATTTTGGATTAGAAAACTTGGGACAGCCTTTCCCTATGGATGTAATGACAATGTCGATAGTGTTGGAAATCTTTCCAGTCCACAGTGTAACAATGTAAATGTGATGAGACTTTTTGACCACACTTACAATAAACCTTTAATACACGATGTCTCTTTTGATTCATTACTACCTTATGTAAATCGACAGTTAGGTCTACATCATGTTCGCACCAAAATTTACTCTGTCCCTTTGAAACTTTTGCATAGTCTTCTTGAAAATGTCAAGGAAAGTCCTTTTTTTATTCCTCGACACCAGAATATAGGCTCGGATCTGTGATTATGGATATTGCAATTCATGGGCTTTTTAAACCCCCACGTTTTACTGAAGAAGAAGCAGCTAAAACAGTCTTTTTTTTCCCTTAAACTTCAATATGCCAACAAAGGAATTGACGCGGTTAATATAAGAAATATTCTTAGCCACAAAAGAGTCCAGTCTTGTATTCCACCATATTTCAAACTAGAGACTACACCTTGTATTTCCTACAAATATACAACGACTATTGCTTCCAAACTTTTGAATTACAAGAAAACTTTACAGTGCCTGGATATCGAATATCTGAAACATAACCCTACATCGTGTCCATGTTCTTCTTCACCCTATAACTAATGGAGTCTCAACTAAATTTTATTAGGCTTAATTATTTTTTTTTAATTTAAGATCAATGTTTTAGGTAATGTGGAAAGAAATCTTGGCTTCTACTACCAGAGTGAATATAATTTAACGAATTTATGAAGGAAGTTGTTTATGATTACAAAAGTATCCCGAAATACATTTTATGGTTTAAATTGCCCATTTCCAAATCATGTGATAGAAGTCTTTACGGAAATATTGACTGTGTGTTCATTCAATTTTTTGCAATTTCCTTCTCATTCTGATTTGAATTTTATCTTAATGACATATGCAATTGAAATTGTTCTTAATGTAATAGACTAATGCAATTTAGCGTTAAAGGAATACAAAATCTATATGAACACTTGGAAAATAAATAAACTTGCAATGCAGTGACGATTATTACGAAAATGAAATGTTATTTGTAAATTCTGCTAAGAATCACCAATGTCTAAAAAATTTTGAAAATCTTTTTATAGTAAAGCCAATGCAAGAATTTCATGACAATCTGTCAAGGGAATGTGTTCATCGTTGGCCAATGCAGGCATTGAGCGAATATCTAAAGGGCCAATGCAGGCATTGAGACTCTCTTTCAATGAAGAGGCAATGCAGCCATTGCCTGACTCGTATGACTATCTCAAAATCCAATGCAGGCATTGGGCGACTCTCATGATAGCCAATGCAGGCATTGAGAGACCCTCTCAAGGCCCAATGCAGGCATTGGGTGACTCTCTCATAAGAGTCAATGCAGGCATTAGGTGACTTCTCAAGGTCCAATGCAGGCATTGGAAGAGTCCCTCAAGGTCCAATGCAGGCATTGGGAGACTCTCTCATAAGAGCCAATGCAGGCATTAGGCGACTTCTCAAGGTCCAATGCAGGCATTAGGCAACTCTCATAAGAGCCAATGCAGGCATTGAGAGACTCTCTCAATGTCCAATGCAGGCATTGGGCGACTCTCTTATAAGAGCCAATGCAGGCATTAGGTGACTTCTCAAGGTCCAATGCCGGCATTGACTGACTAAGTAGTCGGCTAATGCCTGCATTGACGGACTGTGTAGTAAGCCAATGCCGGCATTGGACGACCTAATATGCAGGCATTGGACAACCTAATATGTAGAGCCAATAAAGGCATGAGACAACCCAATATATAGAGCCAATGTAGGCTGTGGATGGCCTTATTTGTAGAGTCAATGCAGGCACTGGATGACCTTATTTGTAGAGTCAATGCAGGTACAGGATGATCTAATATGTGGAGCCAATGCAGGCATTGGAGGGTCCTTATTAAATTAAAATTACTTTTCTGTAGTATATTTCTCTTCTAACTGGATTAGGATCCCTCTATTTTTGTCTTACATTTCACTTTGTATTGAAATTTAGCTGTGTCAGATAAATAATTGTAAAGAACTTATTTCCTGGACAGTTTAACTTCTTTGTTCCATGTTGGAAGAAGTTCTTCTTTCAGGTAGAAACACAAGAAGCTAAAACAAATTTTAACATTTCTAACATATTAGAAATGTTTTTTTTTAATATAATAATTTATTACAGGATCGGACCATTTCATTTCTCGCATCAATCCCAACAACATTCAGGCCCTTCTTCCTTCCTGCCTGCAGTGCTTCTCCTGAAAAATGATATTTTGCTTAATAAATAAAACTTCATAATGTCTAGTTTATATACAATTCATAATACCTGGTATATACATAATTCCATTCCTTCAATAAATGTCTTATTTTTTCTTTACCTTTTCCACAGTGGAAAACTACCAGATTGCCATTTCTCGTAATCAAGTGGGCCAAAATTTTCTCAAAGAACAAGGGCTTTGATATTGCTTCAACTAAGGCAGGTAGCCCCTTCATGCCAGCCTTATTTGAAAGTAGGCATACAAAAGGCTGGGTGAAGTTAGCTGAAATAAATTTGTAAAATACCTATTAGGTTACTGTAATACAGTTAAACATAAATAAAGAAAACATGCTTATTGCAGTATTGATTTATTCTTATACCAAAGGTATGTTATTCTATTTTTTTAATAAAACATATTATAAACTTATCAGATATAATATAAATTGTATAAAATTTCCAGTGGTTTGTGGATGGATATATGAAGCAGTGTTTTTACCAAGACCACCCCTTCCCTCCCCCCCCCCCCCAAGCATCTTAATAAGGTGATAGAAAGAACTCAATGAGTTGGATGAAAATCATATTCCAGAACAAATTAAAAAATTCTTTTTGTCCCATGTTTTTGATATAAGTATCATATGATTTACACTAGTCTTTTTTATAATTCTTCTGTATTTGACTTAATCAACTTTACACAAAAACAATTGGAACTTCACAACTGCATATTTATATGAGAACAATATCATGAGACTGATTAATAAATAAATGAATAATTAGACAATTTCAAAATAAACACTTATAAAACATGTATCAGTACTCACTCTTCTTGTTGTAAAATACAACAACTGTTGAACTCTTATTAGGGTACATCAATTCTAATCCTTTCTTTGTATCACTGACACTATTCCATGACGTTGTTAATATAAAGGTGTGATTTTCATGCAGCAAAGGAAGGTCCATACATATCCTTAGGAGGGGTTGCCAGTCAGGCTTTAATATAGTTAATATAGTTACTATAGTCCTTCTGGGCACGTTATTACTGGTGGCGTAAATATAGTTAATAATGAGGACCTTAGATCACTAATTTTAAAAGATCCTAGATATAGGGAACCCCGATCCTTCAACTGGCGTCGGAATTTCATAAATATTATGAATTCTGTAGAGGATTACCCCAGGCGATGGGCCAGACATGAAAAAGAAAACCTTGACACTTTGTCAGAATGGATTAAATGTATCAGATGTATGTTAAAATCACGCATTAAAAGATTGAGGGGCAATATGAGAACCATCTATCCTTCTGTATTCAATAATCCAGTAGTGAAAAAAAGAATTAGATAGATTATAGAATCAGTACATACTGGTCCCTGCTGACAAAGCAGGTAACAACATTGTCTTTGTTTGTAAGGCTCATTATATTAAATGTATTTTAGAGAAACTTGGATTTAATTCTACAAGTAGTAATCCAACTTATACTCGTAGTTCCCTTTCTAAGGAAGAAATTCTTCAGAATCATATGTCAGTTTTGAATATTTTTGATATTCCAAACAACCAAAATGAATTTGAATTACCATATCTATATTGGATTCCGAAACTTCATAAAAATCCTTACAAACAAAGATACATAGCGGGTTCCAGTAATTGTTCATCCAAGCCTCTTTCTTTACTCCTCACTAAGACATTAACAGTAGTGAAGGGTAAACTTTAAGAGTACTGTGCAACAATATATTCGAGAAGTTGTGTAAATCAGATGTGGATACTTAAAAATTCCAAGGAACTTTTGGAAAATTTGAAATCACAAGATTTTACCAAAATAAACAGATTAAAAACTTACGACTTTTCAACTTTATACACAACCATTCCCCACGATAAATTAAAGTCCAGGCTTTTTGATATCATTGACAGCTGCTTTTTCAATAAAAATGGAACTCGTAAATATACTTACCTTGTCATTGGTCATTTGCAAAATTATTTTGTTAAAAAAAAAACATTCTGATTGTACACAAAAGTACTTTGAAGTTGACATTAAAATAATGCTTGAGTTTCTGATTGACAATATCTATGTGGGTTTTTGAGACCAGGTATTCCAACAATCTATTGGAATTTCCATGGGAACTAATTGCGCCCCGTTATTAGCGGACCTTTTTAATTGTATTTATATGAAGCAGAATTTGCCCAAAATCTTATACGTGATCAGAAGAAAACACTTGTTGTGGAATTTAACTCGACATTTAGATATATTGACGACGTATTGTCAATTAACAATGGTTATTTCCATTCTTATGTCGACACGACATATCCCGGTGAGCTTGAGATAAAAGATACTACAGAGTCTGACACATCTATTTCATATTTGGATATTTTACTTGAAAAAGACATTAATGGTAAACTAACAACCAAGCTTTATGATAAACGTGATGACTTTAAATTTTCAATCGTCAACATCCCTCACTTATGCAGCAATATACCTTCATCACCTGCATACGGGGTTAATATCTCTCAGTTGATTCGATACCAAAGAGCTTGCTCTGCGTATGTACAATTTCTAAAAGGAGGTAAATTATCGACAAACAAATTGATGAAACAAGAATATCAGCAGTCGCGTTTAAAGTCATAATTTCGTAAGTTCTATGGTCGATACAATGACCTTGTCAGCAAATACAGTTTATCATTGAGTCAAATGCTGACTGACTTTTTTCATACTAATTGTTAGACCATTATTTACACCATGAATTGTCGACGGATTTTCCGTTATTTCCCGGTCATGACCGGTCGGCAGGGGATGCTCACTCCTGCATGGCACCTGATCACACCTCTGATGTTTTGGAGGTCCGTGTTTGCTCTGCACCTATCTTTAATGTTTAATGGACTTTTGAGCTTGAATACTGTTCGTTATCTCCATATATTTCATTGATTAGATACCTGCAAGGGTTGAAACTACTGTGAAAGGGTTACAGACAGCACACGAGAGAAAGACACACAGACAGACAGACTCAAAACACTTTTCGATCAGAAAGCCTTCGAAACAAGTGCAAAAAAAGTGCACCTTATTTGTAACTTTTCTTTACAACTTAGATTTGACTTCATCATGGATTAAAATATCACGACGCTGCAAACTTGAGCTGGCATTTTTTTATACCCACACTTTCTAAAAAAAGTTCAAGTATATTGTTGTTACCTATTTCCGTCCATCCGTCTGCACACCTTCTTCTTCTTCCTCGAACTCCTCTTTTATTTTAATCAGTAACCAATGAATCTTTTTTGGAATATGATAGGTGGTGTCCTGTACAGTTATCTATTCGATTCTTTATTATCCATTAGGAAGGTAATTCTATAAATAGAAGAAATAGCAGATTAAACGGTATGGTGCTAGTTTTGCAAACTTTACACCGCTACATGAAGTATGCTATGATAGACACTACTGTTTCCGTCTCACACAAGGAAATAATTTCACTATATGTTACCTTGTAGCTTTAATTAAATTAATAAATTAGCTAGACTCTCAGCAGATAATTCATGAAATAGAAAATAAAGATTAACACTGATACAAAAATTTGAGATCAGTAGAAAATTGACAGTAAACATAACTTCTCCAAAATACACTTGGATTTCACATGTTGACAAACAACCTACACACCATCCAGGAAATTGCATCATGCGCCCCTAAAAAAAAAGAGTTCCCTTTAATTCAGTGGGACAATTCTGCTAAAGATATAATATTCGTAGTACATGAGTCTATAATTAATACTGTAGGCCTAAAAAGTTGCCGAAAATAAAGAAAAAAGTAATTATCTCTAGATGTATAGAACTTATGATTGACTAAGTTTATTTTGATTGGCAATTTCCTTGATTAAGACCTTTAAGGCATCCTACGAAAACGTCAACATAACAACAATGTACATAAATACATCTTTACGTTGACATAACAAATACATACCTCTTTCTTTTTAATCTGAATTATTATTTTGGAGTTATAATATTATCACATGAATTTAATATTAAAAATTGAATTATTTCTAGTATAACCCAAATCCAACTACTAAATTCAAGTTGATCACCAGTTTTGTTAGTCACGTAATTAAGTAATGTTTACTGAATGAAAGCCATGCGCAAATTCAACTTCACAAGGGGATAACCTCATTCGAATAAGTCTTTATTCATAAGTTGTTTTTCATATCTTCTAGCTTCATGAGGTGTCCCTACTTTAAATAGATTTCGCATTTCATTAATTTGAATTTCAAGTATTTGGACTCCAGATATAACTATATGTTTTGTTAGTAATGTCGATTTCACAAAAGTATCAGCGCTAAAGTTACAGAACATGTACTTTCTCTATATATTTTTGGGAAATGGTCAAAATCTATGCAGTGTTTTCCCTGGCGTGAAGGAGGTTTGACAATAAACCACGATATTAAACATGTCATATCCTGTATACAAAATATGATAAAATATATTCAACAATTCTCTCGATAATAAGTAAACGACATTTAGAAAAAAGAGGTGCATCGGTACTAATGGTGTAATGAACATTTGTAAATAATATACTGTCATTAAACACTGTGAAAAATTATTACTTGATCTCCTACTTACTATAAATTGAACAAATTTTACGACGACGATGTCATGTCGACAAATGCAAATCAGTTTGTTGTTTACAAGTTACTGTGTGGTATCTAACTATCTGACAAAAATGGTTGCAGAATTTTGATGTACATGAAGTTTAATAATTTTTATCTACAAGATGTATAACTTTATAAACAAAGTAACAGCATTTTTCTCCCTCATATCAGAGGTCTAGTTACAATCCATCAACTCATTGGCCTGACATAGTAATGAAATATAAAGATACGGAACAGTAATAAAGCTCACAAGTCCATTGTACCAGTACAAACTGGGAGCAGAGCATCCACAGCTCTCTAAAACATCAGACCAGGTGCCATAAAGGAGTAAGTGTCCCGGTCAACCGGTCTCATTCTCTGCAAGCTTCTTGTTATGATATGATGAATGAAAAATTCCATAGACAATTCAGCGTGAAAATAATGGCCAAAATTGTATGAAAAAGTCAGTCAAGAAAAAAAGTAAAGATATATTGTATTTGCTAAAAGGTCATTGTGTCGTCCATAGAATTTGCCAAATGTTGATTTTATTAAAAACTGCTGATATCTTTGTATCTTCAACTTATTTGTCAATGACTTCCCTGTTTTAAGAATTTTTTTCGTAAGTGGAGTTTGTTCTTGCGTATCGAATCAACTGTAAGACATAAACTCCATATGCAGATGTAAATTGTTTATCAACAGTCTCTTTTGAAGTTATCACTTCGCAAGTTTAACGGTCAATACAATTACATTGTCATCACACACAGCCTATTATTGAGTCAAATGCTGACTGCCGTTTTTCATACTAATTGTTAGGCCATTATTTATGCACTGAACTATCTGCGGATTTTTCCTGTTTTTTTTTTTTTTTTCCAGATCATGACAAGGAGCACACAACGGGTGTGACCGGTCGGCAGTGGATTCTCACTCCTCCATGGCACCTGATCCCACCTCTAAATTTTGAAGTCCGTGTTTACTCTGCTCCTAATTTGTATCGTTTCATTAGACTATCGAGATTGAATACTGTTCGTTATTTTCATATTTCATTGCTACATAAATAAGGGAAGTTGACGATATAAAAGGTAGTCATCACGTTTATCATGAAGTTTGTTTTTATTATTATTGTTTACATTAATGTCTTTCTATAGTGAAATATCCAAATATGAAACAGATGTGACAAAATCTATTATGTCCATTATTTCGATTTGTATTGGATATATTGAGTCAATAGGAACGAAAATGAATATTGCTATTGATATACCGTCGTCGATATACGTGTATCTTAATGTTGAGTTGAGGTCCAAAAAAAACAAACCTTTTTGTTGTTATAAGGAGTTGCTTTCTAAATTATGCTTCCTATAAATACAA